TTGGTACTTGTCTTTCTTGCCTGGCTTATTTCACTGAGCATAATACCCTCTAGCTCCATCCATGTTGTTGCAAATGGTAGGATTTGTTTTCTTCTTATGGATGAATAATATTTCATTGTGTATATGAACCACATCTTTATCCATTCATCTACTGATGGACACTTAGGTTGTTTCCATACCTTGGTTATTGTAAATAGTGCTGCAATAAACATAGGGGTGCATATGTCTTTTTGAATCTGTGATCTTGTTTTCTTTAGATAAATTTCTAGGAGTGGAATTCCTGGGTTTCCCAGAATCTTTATGAAGATCTCATGAAGTAATAGAAGAAAAACTTTGAATTGCACTTTAATGTTATATTACCAGTGATGGTTTAAATCATAGACTGCATGAATTGCTACATGCAACTAGGAAGGAACTATTAAGCCATTAAACTAAGAAAAGCTATATGTATATATACACATATATACATATATAAGCATACATTTTTCAGCCCCATGGTTAATTTTTTTTCAAGAGTCAAAGAAGTTGATGGTGAAATAGGTGACTAGAGGGGTAGCTAAAGAAATATTGATAAAAGCTTTGTTTTACTGGATCAAAATGAAAATTTGTTCTTTCTGACAAAAATTCAAGGAGATGACTTCCCTTAAGCTCAGAAAAGAGTTGGGGGTAGGGGATGGAGTTTGTCAATTAATTTTTTCAAAAAATCTGTTCCAAGTACCATGCTCTGTAAGAGTCGTTGGTCAAGAAAACAAAGGCCTCTGTCTGCATCTTTCAGGTTAGTGACAGGCACAGGTAACTAATTCAGCAATTATGATTCAGGTCCGTGGTGAAGGAATACAGGGCACAAGGCGAGAACACCAAAGGTGCTCAACCGGGTGTGAAGTCAGGAGCAGGATACGGGCAGAGGTGAGGAAAGACAGGATAGTCGTCCTGGGAAATGTGAAAAAACAGGCCAACAGGCTGAAACCTGATGAGGGAAAGGGTCTAACCACATGAAGAATATTCCATATAGGAAAAAATGGAATGTTGAATGCTGGGAGTAAATAAAGATTGTATATTCCAGGAATCAAAGGCTGTTTGATCTGAATGAATAATACAATGAAAAGGGAGTGGGAATAAGGCTATCAGGACAACCAGGGACCAATCACAAATGGCTTATTAAACCATATTAAGAAATAAGGATTTTTACCCTAAGGGTAATGAGATTAATCAGGAGATGTTACATTCATATTTGCAATTTAGGAAAAAAACTCTCACTTGCAGTGTGGCGAATGAATGACAGTGAGCCTGAGGAGAGCAAGGCTAGAGGCAAAGAAACTGGTCATAATGCTCTTACAGTAATTCCAGCAAAAAGAAAAGGGAGAATAGGGATTGGGTGAAACAAATGAATCTAAGAGATATTTAGATGGCATAAGCCATAGAACTTTGGGATCCATTTTGTAGGGGCACAGTTAAGGAGAGTGAGAAGTCAAGGGAGATAACCTTTTTGTTTGTTTAGGCAACTATGTAGCTATCTATATATACACATATACTTATTATATTTGTATATATTGACACCATTCAGTGAGATGGTGAACACAAGATTGCACATGATCCATAGGAAGGCAGATGCTGATTCCAGTTCTGAGTATACTGAATCTTGGGCATCTCTGAGGCTTCAACAAAAATATAGAACACTTGATTGAAAATATAAGTATTAAAGTTACGAGAAAAATCGAGGCTGAAGATACTGAATTGGGAGTCATCAATCACATGGCCTTAGTCTCTGAAACTAGAGCATAGATGAGATCATTCACAGTGAATGATAGGAAGAAAGAAGACAGTGATCAAAACCCTCAGGAATACAGATATTTAAAGAATAGGGCAAGATAAGCCCAAAAGTTGAACTGTGAAGTCTGGCTAGAGGAGAATGAGGTAAAGCACTTGCGTTTGGAATCTTAGAAACCAAGAAAACTGGGAGAAAGAGGTTTTAGTCAACAAAGTCAAATACTTCAGAGAAAAACAGGATAATAACAAAATTATTCATCGGACCTAGAAACGATATAGTTTGAGCAAATTGGTGTGCTTGCTGAGAGCAGTTTCTCAGAAGTTAAAGAGAGACTCCAGACTGCTCTAAAGGTTGAAGTGTGAATGGGAGATGAAGATGTTGTATAGAACAATTCTTTCTAGAAATTTGGAGAGGGCGAGTTGAAAGTAGTGAGGGGAACATGGGATTTCAGGAGGGATTTCTTTCTAGAGCAAAACAGCTAAATTATATATAAATGTTTATGGAAAGAAACTGATACGAAGTACAATAAAGTAGGAAGATAAATGATGGAGTGAAATCTCTTGGTAGTGACCTAGAGGAGGGTATGATACAATGTCAACATGATTACATTTCTGACTGTTCAACCACTTGCTGTATCTCTAGTCTGAGACCCACAACCTGAGTATATCATCCTTAATTACAAAAAATGATATTTTTTGGTTGCCAAAACAGCTCTGTAATTATTCTAGATTTTATTCCCAAGTTTATCACTACCTGACCATGTAACATTAAACAAGTGGCTCAACTTTCTGTCCATGCAAAAGCAAAGTCCTTAGTATTAATTCCCCTTATAAAAGAGAAGTAAATGTCAGTAAATTTTATCATAGGTAATAGTTCTCTGGGAGTTAGGGCATTTGAGATGTTTTTCTGTTTTGTGAACTTACATGTTTTTATATTAGGATATGGAGTCTCCCCCTCTATATGTTTCTTTTTTTTTTTTTTAATAAGAACACATCTGTATTTCTCCTCTCTGTGCTGTGTCCTGTCTGCAATTCAAAATTAACTACAGTTGAATAACCTGACCTCTTATAATTATTATATAGCTTCCTGCTATAGTTTTTAGATTGTTAAGGAAGGCACCAAGAATGTCTAAATCTTGTTCTTGAAAGATATCATTGATGTATATGTCATTGAAGTTTTTTGGAGATGTTCAGAACACTGGCTTACTCAGCTGGGAATTAAAGAAACTGTGAATATTAAATAATAGAGTAATTTAACATTCAAGAGCTCCGAGGTCTAAGCCCAGCCATATTTCCTGATGGGATCACCCTTGACAAGCCATTATTCCTCTGTGTGCCTCATATTATTCCCTATAAAATGGGTATAACCTGTCAGGTCTTCATTGTAAAAAGCTATGAGAATATATTGCAAATCAGCATGTTAGTATGAGAAAAATGAGTCTTAATCCCAGTAGATAAAAGGGAAAATAGAAACTCTATAAATGGAAGTTGCTAAATTATGAGAATCAACTACATTTCTATTTCTGCCATTGGGTCTGGTTTGGCATCGCAGGTTCCTACCCAGAGTGCCTGTGAGGGGGATGCTAAGGTCACAGGACTCCTCCTCCTCCTCCTTCTTCCTTGTGGCCTAGAACCAGGCCTGTGGCCCGAATACTGTCAGGAGCTGCTGCTAACAGGGATCTGAAGGGATCATGTGGTCGTCAGGCAGCTGCCTCTACAAGCAGAAAACCTTCTTGTTTTATTCGTCACTACGGAGAGTCCCTAATGGGCAGGAAAAGTGAGAAAAAATAAGATTATTTCATGCTCTTCATGCTCTGCTGTCCTCCTCCCTCCCTGATACATGCTTTCTCAGGGGCAGCATAAGCAACTAAGAGTAAAAAAAAAGGAAAAGTACGTCAAACTGTAAATTCTACTATTTGTAATCCGTGCAGAACGTCTGTGATGAAATTTGTGAGTAATTCACTTTCCACTTAAGTTACCAATACGAGACCTAATGTTGCTGCCCTGCACACTAATGAAGGAAGGCAGACGGCAGTATGGCTAGCCCTTGGGGACTCATTTCTCACATCACCAAAAAGTAATTTCCATCATTTTCGGCCATCTGGTAGCCTGGATTGTGAAGATGAAGTTTCATTCAAGTATTGCTTAAGAGCGTGGGCCCTGGAGTCTGCTTGGATTCAAATCTCTTTTTCTGCTTCTGCGCCTTGCCTCACCCCCTCGGTACTTCAGTTTTCCACCTGTAAATAAATCCTCATAGGATATTATTTCCTTAACTGTGAGGACGTACTGAAATAATACTTGTTAAATACTCTACATAGGGCCTTGGGTATAATAAATATTTAATTTAGCTATTACTAAATTTTTAGTATTGTACTACTACTCCTATTTAGTAGGTGGTGATTGTATAGGAATAATAGTAGTATTTTTGTAATGTCTTTTCTGTGACATAGGCCTCATTAATCCAGCTTTAGGCTCTGAGGACATCATTTAGCCTGTCATACACCTAGATGCTGTCGAGATGCTTTCTGCTGTAGTGATTAACCTATGGTTTCTTTATTTGGCTAAATTATAAGTAACCAGATATCCCCACATCTTAGCAACACAACTATGCAATCTTATACTAAATGAAACTGTTTTTCTTTTCCTGAAACTTGGAGGAAAGATTGAACTATATTCATTTTATATACATAAGGAAATAAATAATAAAAACAGTGATAAGAAAAATTTATTCTTTTCTAGATTTGTGAACACTGAGTTGCCATAGGGAAGGGGGGGAAGGTGTGAGTGAAATAGGTAAAGGGGATAAAGAGGTACAAAATTCTAATTATAAAATAAATTAGTCATGGGGATGAAAGGACAGCATAGGAAAAAAAATTTTAAGATAAAAAATGAATTCTTAATATATATGAACATGCATATTCTCTGATATCCAAATAAGGTCCATTCTAATCAGTAAAAAGCTAAAACATATTCATTATACTGCTCTGTGTACTTGCATTTGGCCACAGTGGGGAGCATTGGCCTTAGTGGGGAGGTTCTTACCCAAATAGTAGGACCCATGCTTTTTATCTCTGAGGAGGTCCCAAAGCACCCTGGTTTCTTAATACAAAAATTCAAATAGTAATTCATAAAAGCACTTAGCTCAAATTGACCACTTCCTGTTGCATGGACCAGTGCTGCAAACCTACTTCTGCTGACATGGTTATACATATAATCGGCTTTTGTCTTTACAGTTCCACCAAAGATCTCTAACATCTCGTCGGATGTCACTGTGAATGAGGGCAGCAATGTGACCTTGGTCTGCATGGCCAATGGCCGTCCTGAACCTGTTATCACCTGGAGACACCTTACACCAACTGGTAAGGAACCCTTCAGTCTCTTAAGAAGCCACACTTTATTTAAGATATCCTCATGATTCTGAGATTCCTTTAGATGAAAAAGGCAAGCATTTATCTTGTCATTAGAACACTAGTAGAACTGCAACATAGGGCTTATGTAGGCTTTTCCCTGGTCTTAGCTAATGTGTTCATCTCTGTAAAGTCTGCAGTCATAGTACTAAAAATATATATATATATACATATATATGTTTATGTATATATATATATATATCTTACTTCATTTTCAATAGAATATCCCTACAAGGCAACAAATATGGAGGAATTAAATGACTTAATATTATATCTAAAATGTATGCCAGTTTTATGCTTGAGTGTCTTGCGGCAATGTGCAGATGGATTGGATTTACAAAGTTCTTTTGTTTTGGTTTGGTTTTCTTGCTTTTAACTATAATTTCCTAACATATAGCACCCTGTGAGGAAATCTTTCAGGAATAATACAAAATTGTCTGTGACTTGTAATGTACTGTCCTTAGCATCTGACTCTGTGGAGGGGTATCAGGCATGGATTAAGCTGCACGAGCTCATTATGGACCCCAGCTATTGATGCTAATTCCGTAGAAGTCCGAAAATCACTTCCCAGGAATGCCTTCTGCTTCATTCCCTGCCCCTCCCCACCACCATCACCATAACTGGGTTTTGAGGCTCTGTTACTTTTTGAACTTCATTTAAATATCTTATCAAGTTATTTAGGATTAACTCTATGCATATTCCCCTGCTCTACAGGTTATATTTTTTTATATATGAAACCATGCCTTTGCAAGTGCACAGTCTCTGTAGAATGAGGCCTGCTATTTAACTTCAGAAAGAGGAGATTTGGGTCAATTATTCTTGTAAAATGGCATTCATTTTGGTAGATACATCTCAACTTTTAACATATTTATATCTGATATCCTCTTAAAGTTTCTTCATATAAGTATCTAGAGATTTAATTTACAACAGAATTCATTTTGGAATGAATACCACAAAAAAAAATTGGGCAAAGCTAGACCTATGACAGAAGCTATCCTGACATATTTCTAAAAGGCCAGTGTAGTGCTTGGTTATAGCATCTGTAAAAATCCCTCTATTTTGTAGTGAGCATATGGGCCTCCATGTCATATTAACCCTAAATTAATTTCTCAGGTGAAGTTGAAACCAACCTATGAAACAGTCACTTATTTAGGCAGCTATTCTTTCTTTTTTTAAGGTATCATTGATATACACTCTTATGAAGGTTTCACAAGAAAAACAATGTGGTTACTACATTCACCCATATTATCAAGTTACCCCCCCCCCCACCGCATTGCAGTCACTGTCCATCAGTGTAGTAAGATGCCACAGATTCACAACTTGTCTTCTCTGTGCTACACTGTCTTCCCCATGTGCCCCCCACACCATGTGTACTAATCATAATACCCCTCAATCCCCTTCTCCCTCCCTCCCCACCCGCCCTCCCACACCCCTCCCCTTTGGTAACCACTAGTCCCTTCTTGGAGTTCGTGAGTCTCCTGCTGTTTTGTTCCTTCAGTTTTGCTTCATCGTTATACTCCACAAATGAGGGAAATCATTTGGTATTTGTCTTTCTCTGCCTGGCTTATTTCACTGAGCATAATATCCTCCAGCTCCATCCATGTTGTTGCAAATGGTAGGATTTATTTTCTTTTTATGGCTAAACAGTATTCCATTGTGTATATGTACCATATCTTCCTTATCCATTCATCTACAGATGGACACTTAGGTTGCTTCCATATCTTGGCTATTGTAAATAGTGCTGCAATAAACATATGGGTGCATGTCTTTTTGAGTCTGAGAACTTGTTTTCTTGGGTAAATTTCTAGGAGTGGAATTCCCAGGTCAAATGGTATTTCTATTTTTAGTTTTTTGAGGAACCTCCATATTGCTTTCCACAATGGTTGAACTAATTTACATTCCCACCAGCAATGTAGGAGGGTTCTTCTTTATCTGCATCCTCCCCTGCATTTGTTGTTGCTAGTTTTTTCAGTGTTGGCCATCCTAACTGGTGTGAGGTGATATCTCACTGTGGTTTTAATTTGCATTTTCCTGATAATTAGCCATGTGGAGCATCTTTTCATGTGCCTGTTGGCCATCTGAATTTCTTCTTTGGAGAATTGTCTGTTCATATCCGCCACCCATTTTTTAATCAGGTTATTTGCTTTTTGGGTATTGAGGCATGTGAGTTCTTTATATATTTTGGATGTTTAGGCAGCTATTCTTATTAGAGGCTTCTATTTTCTTGAGAGAATGGCACTAAAAATCCATCCTTATTGTTAAACTTGTCATTTGTCATTTATTGATAGTATGTAAGAGGAACAAATGAGAGACTCATGGGCAAGATTAGCTTCTAACTCATTTCCTCTCAGACCTGTTTTCTACCTGACATGGAAAGAAATACATACAGAGAATTGTCTGAAGTGTGAATCATACACCTTTCCCTTGGATTAAATAGAACCTCCAGGGCACTTTCTCCTTGAAATTATGTTATTCCCCCAATCCCAGACCACCTTCCCCCATCCTATATAGAATTGCTTTTACCAAATAACAATTTAGTATAAAAGCTATTGGCCTACACTTGAAAGATGTTATTAAAAATATCTCTGTAATCATTGCATTTAGTTTAAGTTTAGTTTCTGAGAGATTGTTAATTTTACATCTTATACTTCTGAAAGGACCCTTTTAAGGAAATTCCTCTCTGTTTTCAGTATTTCCACTGTCCTTTTTCTAAACAACAGTTTCTTTTTTGTGAATTAATTCAGTGAATTTGTATAAATGACCATGAGTGCTTCATAGTACTGACTGTTGCCAAATTTAAAGTCAAATTGTGCATCTGTAAAAGAATATAAGAAATCATATTTAAATTACACATCAATAAAATAGATTTTAACAAAACATGTGAGATTTTATGGCATCAAATTCATATGTAGACCACACCCTTTCATCTTCTTTTCATACTATGGTTTTTATATTGTCTAAACTTTTCTAATTTAAATATCTGTATAAATATTTGTAATCTCTCAATTTTTTGTTGAAGAAGTGGTAGATATTATAAATAAGGAAAGAAAGAAGATAAATTATTATCAAATTATAATCAAGGAATTAATTGCATTAATAAAAAGACTAGTTCTTTTGGTGCACTATTGACTGATAAATAGTTGTTTTCAGGGAAAAGTAGCATTTGTGACCTGAACTCTAAGATATATTTGTTTGTTTATCCCTTGAGTTCAGAAAAATAATGAGAACCAGAGTTTCAAGGTTTTTCCAGACCTCATCTAAGAGTTTAGATCTTCATGGTTAACTCTAGCAAAATTTTAAATGATAATGATCATGATTTGAGCCCTGAATGACCTAGTTATCCATGATGTTTCAAGTCAACAAAAGACCAGAAGGCAAGCCATACCTTTGCATTCACATAAACTCAGAGAACCCTAAAGATTTCAAAACCACCTAGAAAAATGGGCACACTCACAGGTATTCCCCATAGTCAGGCCAGGGGTCAGCAAACTACAGCCCATGGTCCAAAACTAGCCTGCCCCACTTTTGTGCTGCCTGCAAACTAAGAATGATTTTTAAATGGTTTAAATGCTTGGAAAAAATCAAAAGAAGAATTTGCTTTTTGACGTGCAAAAACTATGACATTCAAATTTCAGAGCTCACAAATAAAGTTTTATTGAAACACAGCCATACTTATTCATTTATATATTGTTTATAGCTGCTTTTGTTCTAAAAGAGCCTATTCAAATAGTTGCAACAAAGATGGCTGTCTCTTAAAACCTAAAGTATTTATATGTGGATATTCATATTTGACCTGTTTATAGTTCATAATGCGTGATCAAAACCGAAAGTTTCTGTGATGACTGCCCTTGCACTGTTCACCATGTAAGAACTTATTCACTTTGTAAGAATTTGTTCACCATGTAAGAACTTGTTTGTTATGCTTCAGAAGATTGGAGACTGACGAGAATTAGGCTTGGGGTGGATTAATGATTGTGCATTGAGCATTGACTCCCCTATACAGAATTTTATTGTTGTTAACAACCATTTGATCAATAAATATGAGAGATGTCCTCTCAAAAAAAAAACAACACCTAAAGTATTTTCTTTTTGGCCCTTTATAGGAAAGTTTACAGATTCCTGCTCAAGGCTATGGCTTGGGACACAGGACCAGGATTCCCTGCATTCATCTATGACCCCATAGGGCTGTGGGGATATTCCCTATTAAGCTCGTAAAGACAACTCAAGGGATAGAACTTTGTTCTTCTATAATCCTCTATCTGGGCCCTCACTGTGGGTCAAATTCCATTCCAGCACATGCAAAACTAGCCCCTGGCAGCATTCACAGACTAAAGGGCGAACTCCAATTCTCCCTTACAACCAGTATTAACTCCTAAGCCCAAGCCCTCATCTTTTTTCACATCTGACTAAAATAACTACCTCCTCATAATCACATTCCTGGTGACAGGAGAGAGAATTTGCCTTTAGTGTTCTATACAGGAAAGTAGGGTATTTTTTGTCTGTTTGTTTTTGTGATTTTTTTCCCCATATTTTGAAAACTAGGAAGCAAAGAGTGATCCTTTCTAGCCTATAACATGAAGTCTTTCTTGGAGACACCCAAAGAAGAGGCTCTTGTCTCTGTGTGACTGCAAAGCTGCCTGCATAGCCATGTGAGCAAAAAAATCCAGCTCGCTTTGTTCAATTATTAATCGTGACTTCCACAGTGCAGTGTGACTGCCTTGCAGAGAAAATGTACCTGTAATTAGCTCGACCCCACAGGGGCATTGAGCCCTGAAAGGGGGAAGATTCCATGCAGGGTTCACAAGTATCTGACTACCTGTCATTTGATGACATGAGGGGGAGAAAGGAAAGAGGGTGCAAAGTATATTTTCATGAGGAGAAGAATATTTATTACTCCCTAATTCAGTTCTCTAAAAAAAAAAAATTCACTGGGCCATTTTGTTTCTCTATGT